AATATATACTTAATATATATATTTAGTCGAAAGAAAATGAAAAAGGAGGGACAGAGATACAGAGACAGAGACAGAGCGTCCACGGAAGGAGGGAAGGGGAAGAGGAGGCGGGGAGAAGTGGAAGCGGGGAGGGGGGGGGGGAAGAAGAGAAATCGTTGGCAGATAGAGAAACGAAATCTTTCTGTGGCAGTGGCTTTTTTGTTCCATTTGGATGCGGTTTCAATCAGCTGTTTAATTTATTGAATTTGGTTAAGGTTGGTTTGATAGGGCTTAACTACTGCCTACAAACTTACTTTCCTTTTTTTCTTCTTGGCTACTCTAAACATGCTTAGGCTTCATCTAACAACATTTCAGTCTATCTACACCGACGAAGGAAAAAATTAAAATAAGATAAAAAGGCTTCAGTGATATTGGCAGTTGTTGGGCGTTAAAACGTAAAGCATTTGAATGGTAAAAGTTATTTGTCGTATCAAAAATGGTTGCTAAAATTTTTTTGTGGCTGCTATTTCTCTCGTTTAAAGAATGGTAAATATGTGAGTTGTTGTAGGCAGTTTTCTTGACAATAATATATTTTATGGTTATTTGATTACAAGTATCACTAATATCAATTTAATCAGTTTACAAATATTGGTTGGAAGAAAAAAAAAAAAGTAAAAAAACAAAAGAGGAGATTTGAACAGCAGAAGTCCTTTTTACAGTTCCACAGTTTTCACATATAGTTTATGATTCATCAGTGTTAAACCTGCAGTTTTTTGTTGCAGCTTTAACAGGAATCAGTGTTATTTTATTTTATTTTTTTTGCATACTTTGGCTTTATTCTTCAGTCATTGAGCGTTATATCAATCAGCCGCGCTCTTGAATCCACGAATTGTGCTGTACTGCAATTAGGTCGTCAGTTATCGGCCACTGTAGCATTTTATGATTACCGGACAATCAACGTAAACCTGAGGAAAACAGCGGTGAGTGATGAATAGCGGTTAATGGCGTTATTGTAGTCTCTGCAGTTGCTATTACCGTTACCGTTGTTGCTGCTCCTACTGCCGTAACGGCAGTGTTATTTCGGCGATGAGACAGTGTTACTGTTGAAGTTTCCACTTAACAGCTGTTGCCTATTGTAGCACTTGCAAAAGGTTGGCGGAATCTTGTTATTGTTTCATTTGATTTCTAGTAACTTTAGAAGATGTGTGGAAATGCTTGATTGTCCCAATACAGCTTTTATTGGTACTTGAAATTTCTGAATCTAGCTTTTTTTTCTTTGATATTACAATCTGCAGCTGAATTGTAATTATAAAGTTGTTAGGATGAATAGGTGTTTGTTTTGCGTTTATCACTCAGCGTTACGCATTGTTTACGAATAAGCAAAAAGTGAATATTTGTGGTTATGTCCTGTGTCTGTGTAATACTGATTGAGTAATTTCGAGCTAATTTGCCGTGGTAACACTGTGGTAAAAGTATCGAATTTTTATTTATTCATTTATTTTCTTATCATTGTTATTCAGTCTAGAGATCTGTTCAGTGGGAAAAGGCTATTTGACGAAAGGTTGGTGGTACTAAACATTGGTTTCATTATTAAAATAAAACTGAAAATTAGAAGAAAAAAGTGTTGAACACTGTGATAGTGTAGTATGCTTAAGGAGATCAATTACTGCAACCATATTAATACATACGTATGCCAATTGTGCACGGGAAGGGAGTTTTCTTTAGTGGTGGTTCCGTAACGCATTTGGTGAACACAAACGGATGTCATGAGGGGTTGACCTTGTTGAATGTGTTGTTTTCTTCTGTTTTTTATTTTTTATTTTTTATTTATTTTTTTTTTTGCTATCATCCATCTGGAGTTGAGAGTGCTTTTTTATATTATCAAATTTACTCAGATAACTATAGTGAAATAGACCAGATACATATCCATTTACACCAATTTACAGGACCTAAAAGCATAAACACTTAATATTTTATCTTTTATTTCCTGCTGTTTTCGTTGTTGCCGTTGTCACTGTTGCTGTTAACACCGTTATACGGTTTCTTTACATATATTTTTTTGCTGTCCAAAACCTTTGGCCGATGATAATGATCGTACTGTTGCTCTGAAATTTCCGATTACATTAACGCTGTTTTGTTCATCAAAATTTTTTTTGGAAATCTATCAGTGTTCGGATTTTTGTTTGGATTTGCTTTTTTTTTTTGAAGCAGATTATCCGCAATAGTAAGACATATGTGATGACCTTTGATGTATGGGCCGTAATCGATGCGGTTATCACAGTTTACAATCCGGAAGTCTCCAATGAAAAACGTGTTGCTGCCTCACAGGTTAGTTTTTTTTAATATAAATTTAAGGAAACATCCGAACTTAATGTATATTTCTGTAAGAAATTGTGCAAGTTTTGCATAATTCTTTTGTTTCACCTTTTCATTTTGTGGGAGGTGCTCACAGAAACCACGTTGGTTTAATGGGTTGTGCCGGTCTTACTTTCTCATACTAAGCCTT